ATGAAATTAACTAATAACATTATGCCTAGTTCCCTTCAATATGTTGTCCTTTCACCAACAGTTCATCTTATAAAATAGCAGCTATTCATGTATATATTAGTCAATGACCTTCTTTAGTACCTATATAGAAGCACATACCTTCCTACATATATATCTAATTGTATAGGTATGCTGTGGGTCGCTCTTCTGGGAAGCCGCCGCTGCGTTGCCATGGCAACGCGCCGCATCAACACCCGCCCCTGCCACGTGTGAATATCCAGGTGACCTGCAGGCAAGGGGCACACTTCACCCTGGAACAATTTTCCATAGAAATCCTGACACTGTATGTGAAAAGAAAAAAGGGTTTTGTCCCTTTGCCTTCCCAGACCTCCTTTCTGGGAAGGCAGTAATAAAAAGAAAAAAAAAACTTGTTCGATATCCAAAAATATTAATTTTGTCGTGGCAAATGCACAAACCGTGCGAGCCATTAATAAAAAATTAATACTAATTTCTAACATGTTTTTAACACCATTTTAATTTTAAACGCGAACTGTCATGTGATTAAATAAAACTAGTTTTTACAGGATAGACGTACTGAATTTATTTATTTATTGACGTTTCGCATCCTTTTCAGGAATGCGTCGTCGGAATAAAATTAATCCTAAGTACAGCCCAAAAATAAATAAATAAATAAAAATAAAACTAGTTTTAGTTACGATGCGGAACGTCAATAAATAAATAAATTCAGTACATCTATCCCGTAAAAACTAGTTTTATTTATTGATTTTTTGGGCTGTACTTACTTTTTTTTAAGGACTTTTTGCGTTGAGTATCATCACTACATAATATAAAGCAAAATTGCTTCCCACTGTCTGTCCCTATGTATGCTTAGATCTTTAAAACTACGCAACGGATTTTGATGCGGTTTTTTTAATAGATAGAGTAATTCAAGAGAAAGGTTTATAAAATATGTATAATACATGCATAATATAGTAGAGAAACACTGATAATTTTAGAGGTTTTTAATGTAAGGTCGTAAATAAACACTTTTTATGCGCTTACATTGCAAACGCTGGCTGATCCCTACGAGATAGCTCAAAATAATGTACTACAGCATTGTACACCTTTAAAAGGTCTACAAAAAAGTCCGCAATGGTATATGTCTATATCTTAGGGATAGCCCACAATAACGTAAAATGTTATATTGCTGTAAATCGCTTCGTAAATAATCTATTATTTCTCGTAAAAAGTCTATACTTTTATAGACCCATTTCTTATCATAGGATAATTAATATAACATTCATCTTTATCCAATTAAGTACCTTAAATACATTGTGCATTCAATATAGACCAATTTGGCCCTTTAACGCATGTAATTTTAATGAATATTTTCGAAGATATTACAGATATAAAATGCAGGGACATAGCGGTTCCGACGTTACCGGGCGGGCTTGGCGGCGCGTGCCTATTGTAATTAGCTATTAGAAGAATGTCATAGTGTATAATACAAGCCTGAGAACAAAAACTATAGTCTACACTACAGCTCTACACCGAAGCGAAGCGAGGGCGGGCCACTAGTAATTTATATAATTCTGCCAATAACAGAACTTATGGCAAGTGTTATATAAGCGGTTTGTTATATTTGTTCTAGGCAAGTTCGCGGTAGTAGATACGAGATAGATATCTACATTAAAATATAATTTAGCGGGCGATGAACTCGCGAATGTTAAGCACTCATAGATGCCAATTTTATATGCTAATCGTATAATGTGACGTGTTATTTTATTGTATTCATGGACATAGTATAGTATTTCGAATTGTAAACATCAACTTTAAATCTAAAGAAAGTTTTGTTAGAAAAAAATCCACCGGACAAGGCAGCGGACTTCGAGTTCGGGTCCCGTCTGCGGCCTGGTCTTTGAGGTTTAAACATCTAGCTATTATAGCTTAGCAAATAAAAAAATATTTGTTTCTTAGGTTTTCACGCACATCACTCATTAAATAAAACTAGTTTTTCGGGTTAATGCACGAAACTTTATTTATTTATTGACGTTTCGTAGCCTTTACAGGCTTCGTCGTCAGAATAAAACAGTCAGAATAAAAGTTTTATTCTGACGACGAAGCCTGTAAAGGCTACGAAACGTCAACAAATAAATAAAGTTTCGTGCATTAACCCGTAAAAACTAGTTTTATTTAAATAAAAAAATATGTAACATCAACTATAGTCAAACTTAAAAATTGTGAGATTTTCCAAAACTCACAACATAAAACGGAGATTCAAAGTTTGTATTGGCAACTGATATTTCCACGCAGACAGTCACAGGCAGTCGCTATTATCTATATAGAAATCTTCTTACGGTTGAAAGTAGGGTGTTCAGCCTTAAAGAAAGTTATGTTTGTTTTTCATGTTTATGTATTACCATTTTGTGCTAGTAAATCCTGTCAAATATTCTAGTATTTATGTTCTTAATCACGCTGTAGAAATTCTTTTATTTATTTACTTAAGGTATAATAAGGTATATCTAAAAAATTTTTTATTTACTTTTGTGTCCTGTATGGCGTACCAATAAAGAATATTATTAACATTATTAATTAATAAATTAACAGTGGTACGATCGTCTAATAAACTGTACTATGGAAAATATAAATGAAAATTTTCGCCTGTACATTTATTAAGAAAAATTTCCACTTGTCCGGTTAACAGTACTACTATAAAACAAATCATAGATCTCGTGCTCTACACGACTTGAAAATGCTTTGAAAATGAATCTACCTATTATAGATAATAAAAATTTTTTTTTTTAAAACCAACCTAATATTTTTTTTTTGCAAAACCAACTTTACAAAATATTTTTACATCATCGTAAAGCCCTTCAAATTCCGCATCTTTTGAGCTATCAGACGTCCTCGTGGCCCTTAACCTCGGGGTAACACGGGCGAGTCACACTTCCAGCGAAAATGAAGGCCTACTGGAGCGAGCGAACGAAAAAACATTTTCAATGTTCAAATAACCATGGTTCAGTCAACCTTACTATCCTAAGGCATTGTCCTAATACAACGCGATAACGCGATCATCGCGCGTTTAAACGATGCGAACATCGCGTGATCGCGAACTGGGTGTCCTAATAGAACGCGAATATGGAACGGGTTAGCCCTGCCCCTCTCCCCGCTTCCTATCGATGCGACGCGATCATCGCGAACTTCAGTTAGGACACCTGTTCATCATTAATAGGTTTGATTGCGCGTTCGCGCGAATAGATTTTTAAACATTTTAGTCGCGCGAATGCATCGCTCAATAGCCTATTAGGACACCTATTCTAGATCAATATGTTTGATCGTCGACTCGTACGATGATCGCATCGCTCATTCGCGTTATCGCGTTGTATTAGGACAATGCCTAACTGTTCCACGGGCAATGCACGAAAGAAAAACTGTCCATGTGACATTATTGAGTTTATAAATGTACATTTAAGGACCGCTCCGAGTGTACCACGTACCTAGCACCGTGTTTGTGTGAGTGCTCAGCTTTTATCTGCGCGCCGCCGCCACGTCAGCCGATGTCATACACAGATATTACTACACGAGCCTATAATGTGTTTATTGTGTACATCATCTATCTATATATATATCTTTATATATATAATTCTTCTGTGAGTGTGTATGTCACTGAACTTCTCTTAAACGACTGGACCGATTTTGATGAAATTTTTTGTGTGTGTTCAAGGGGATCTGAGAATGGTTTAGATTCACAAAGACGTGTAGACAGGACAACGTCTGTCGGGTCCGCTAGTATATATATAAATCTCGTGTCACAATGTTTGTCCTCAATGAGCGAGCGGGGAAGATGTGCAGTTCGATCCAACTTGAGAGATAGGATAGTTTAAATCTCAAATTATAGTTGCAATTTTAATTTATTGCAAATTATTACTTTTGGGCGGTACGAAGTTCGCCGAGTCAGCTAGTATATATATATATATAAATCTCGTGTCACAATGTTTGTCCTCAATGGACTCCTAAATCACTGAACCGATTATAATAAAATTCGCACACCATGTGCAGTTCGATCCAACTTGAGAGATAGGATAGTTTAAATCACAAATTATAGTCGCAATTTTAATTTATTGCAAATTATTACTTTTGGGCGGTACGAAGTTCGCCGAGTCAGCTAGTATATATATATAAAACTCAAAAGTGACTGACTGACATAGTGATCTATCAACGCACAGCCCAAACCACTGGTCGAATCAGGCTGAAATTTGGCATGCAGGTAGATGTTATGACGTAGGCATCCGCTAAGAAAGGATTTTGATCAATTCTACCCCCAAGGGGATAAAATAGGGAATGAAAGTTTGTATGAAACTGTCAATTTTAAATCGATCGGGCTGAGACTTTGCATGCAGATATGAGAAGAATCATAGATGAATGTCATTGTGTATAATACAAGCCTGAGAACAAAAACTGTAGTCTACACTTCAGCTCTACACCGAAGCGAAGCGAGGGCGGGCCGCTAGTACCCTATATAATGAGAATATACCTACGGTGCTTACTACAACACCTGCATCCCATTATCTCTCATTATTTTCTTACACAAGTTTTCGACGACCTCCGTGGCTGAGTGGTTTGTGTGTTTCAAGGTGTCGCCTACTCGAGAGGTCTCAGGTTCGAATCCCGGTGGGGGCTATTGTTTGTGTGATGAATACGAGCATTTGTACTCCAGTCATGGATGTTTAATATGCATTTATATATAAATATACATATATATGTATCAGTATATGTATTCTATCCGTTACCCTAGTATCCCATAACACAAGCCTTACAGAGCTTATTTTGGGGCTAGGCTCGAAATAGTGATTTATTTTAAGAAACGTGTGCGCGAAAACATAAGAAATAAAAAACATGTTATAAACTATAACTTAATTTATTTTTTACTATAACTTGATTTCTTAATTTCGATTTCAAATTCAGTTTTAATTAGTAATTAGGTACCATTATTTTTAAGATAAATTTTGTACAATTCGGAAAGCTCATTGATCAAATAAAATATGATAAATTTCAAAGTGTTTATTTGCTGTCAATTTTTTTGCTTGTTTATTATCTGTGCTTACTAAACATCTTTTGTATCAAGTCAGTCTATTCGTTCTCACTATCGACAACCGGCAACAATGGTAAAGGTGCCTCTATCGTCAGGACCCCGTCGCGGGAAAGGGACGACTCTAGGTTCTTAAAGTCTATCCCTTTCGGCAGCAGGAACTCCTTGTTGTACTCCCTGAGGACTGTGGTGTGGTCCGAATTCTCCTCGTGGCGTGCTGACACCATCAGAACGTTATCTTGAACTTGCACTGTCACCTGTTAAGCAAAACAACAAAATTGTGTGCACGGACCACACATCTGAAGTGAAATTCTTTTCTTTATAAAAAAAGAACAGGAGTTTTTGGCGGGATTTCATCGAGAGTGGTTGGCGTCTTATTTTAATTATTCTTAAATTCGTTCATAGTGGATATTGTGAAATAAAATTAGTGTGATTTTTTGTTACAACTGTCTGCGTAACTGAAGAATTAGTAGAATCGTCAAAATATACGCTATTCCGGTGTTCCGGGTTCAAGTGGACGTGAGAATTTTATTGTAGTATTGACTACCTCACAGAAGCTTATCGAAAAAGCCAGCTCGATACATTTCGTGCCAAACACTTCAAGAAACATTAGAATGCGTCACACAGACATTCTAATGTAAAAAGAAAAACAGAATAATTGAACTTAAGATTAGGCTGTATGGGCATTGTTCCCCTTGCCTTCCCTTAAAAGGGAGAATTGACCAAAACAATAAAAAAATTAAAAAAAAACATTAGGCGGTGCATAAGGCATCACTCATATATATGTACTAGCTGACCCAGCGAACTTCGTACCGCCTTAAAAATAGGGGCAGGTAGTAGAAGAGAAAATTTAGGGTTGTATTTATTTTTTAATAGCACATTATAAAAAAATAAATGTTGTCCAAAATAACATTCCTACTAACCCATATGAGAACACTACGTTTCAATACCCAATAGTTTGAATTTTAGCGCGAAGGCGCATTGTAGGTTTCAGAACACTACGTTACAGGTGGACAACCATTACAACTTAAGGATATAAAAATAGATAGTAGCCGATTCTCCGACCCACGGAATATGCATATAAAATTTCATAATAATCGGTCAGGTCGTTTCGGAGAAGTATGGTAACTAACATTGTGACACGAGAATTTTATATATAAGATATATATTGTCGCGTGCGACGCTCGCGAAGCATTTTCGTTTAATCTTTTCCATAGTATTTTTCTATTTACACCCCAAAGTAAGCAGTTGAAACACTTAGGCAAAGTTCATATGACTGCGCGGTCATATGAACTTAGTCTTAGGCTGTGAAAATCAATAATTATCAGCCCGAGATAAACTATAATGTTAGATTATACTCTATAGATCCGATCAGGAATAGTGTTAAGACACATAGCGCAAGCGAAAATATAATCCAATACTGGTTTTATGATTTTTTGAGATAAGTCACAGTCATCTTACCTTTTCTGAGTAAGCCCGTTCGGCTGCGATCGTTGAAGTTAGAAGTTAAGCAACTTTCGCAGTGGTCAGTCATTGGATGGGTGACCAAAAATCTTCTATCTCGAGTTCCTCCGTGCTTCGGAAGGCACGTTAAGCCGTCGGTCCCGGTTGCATCTGCAGCACGTTAGCACACGCCAATACGCACTGGGCCCGCGTGGCGGGTCATGGCCCAATCTCCCTATTCCATCCATAGGGAAGGTCTGTGCCCCAGCAGTGAGGACATTTACAGGATGATGATGACATCTTACCTCTTCAGGGCTGAATTGGCTGACGTCAAACTGCAGCTTCAAGCTTTTGCTAGACCCTTCACCAACAACTAGAGGAGAGCTGATAAGCGCTTGCCAACCAGTTATAAGACCTAAAGGGGAGGTCGGTCCCTCATTCTGCGAGGCTGGTCTTTCCGTCTGAGGAGTAAGCCTCAGGCTCTGAGGGCCTTGTTTCAGCCTTTGGACAGGCTTGTCCGTCTGTGGAACGTTTGTGGCTGTCTGAGAGGTAGGCGCGTTGCTCTGCGTGAGGGCTATGCCAGTAGGAATCATTTGCGCATAAAAACGGGTAAGCTTTGAACTGAAAACAAAATGGAATTGCTTCGATGAAGTATTGATGCTACATCGTAATTATTGAAAACAATCCTCAGGTATAATTAGCATACGCTAACCGACCATATTACAGTAATGAGGAGCTGGCGAACAAAACGGTATGATTACATATCTGGTCAAACTAGTTTATTTTTACAGTCCGAAGGTTTCGGGCACGTTGAATTTGAATCTCAAATATTTTTTAATCAAAACCGCCTGAAACAGTATTAAAATTACTAAAGAACAATGCCAAGTGTCCTTTCTTTGGCTTAATATATTTTTTTCACGAACAGCAATGAAAATTGTTTATTGTGTGTAGTTTAATAACTAAAACATTTCCAGAACAGTAAAAATTCTAAAGAACTTCTAACAAGAAAATACTTAGATAATACAAATATGGAATTTTAAGGTTATTTCAATTTCACGATGACCGTGACGGAATGGCTTCCACACGGATTTTCATGGTGTCGTCGAATGCATTTCGACGATTATTCTAATAATTATAATAAACTAGCAAACCAGTGAACCAAATGTTCACCAAAACCTGATTTAAAAAAAAAAGAATAAAAAAATGTATTTAATTAATTGAGAACTTCGGAGATTTTGTGTGGTTTCTTTTGAAATTCGTGATTTCTCGAAAACCGGAAGTGCTACGTTACTCAAATCCGGTTTGTAGTCTTATCAGACTATTCTTAACTTATAACTTAAACATTCTCTTTATCTATCTCTTACGGTTTGGCCGCTGAAACAGCACCACAGACGGACGGACGGACGGACTTGTCTAATAGATAAGAGATGCAAAAAACGACTGATTCTATTAGTGTCATTTATTGTTGCTGTATTCTTTAAGTTATCACAAGGCCTATCAATGTCAGTGCGTAGTCTCGGAACTCTATGCCTCTCTCTTTTTATTGCAATAAATCAGAGAGAACCAAAATGGCAACTCCATTTATTTTTGTTAGATTTCCTGTCAGCTACTTGTTTATCAATAAATTATTTCTATTGGGAAAGTTCTCGAAAAAAAAAATGTAATTTTAAACTTTCGAATTGTTTATGTTATTTGTTGTGTATGTAAAAGACATGTCCGTGCCATTTTATAATTAAAAGTTTTGTAAGCCAGAATCTGGCATTGTTCTTTGTAAATTAAAATCCATGCCAAAAGCTCACTGTAAGTATGTCGGTTGTTCGCCAGATCCTCAGTTAGAATTTTTCCCTCAACCCTGACACCGGTAGATATCGTGGACTATTTCAACTGGACCCTGCATTTTGCTTAATCTGAGCCCGAGTACGCAGTCAAGAGCGTATTTCTATTCATGTCCGTTACTTTCAGATAAAAAGACTTTTCCTAAGGAATAAGTTTGTATCCCGATACAAATTATAGCCAAATAACACAGCATTACCTGCTACCTACAAATTGTAGAAAAAGAGTGCTAATTGCAAAGGTGTTGTCGACGAAGTTATAATACATCATCACCAGCATATTAATATCCCCACTGCTGGGGCACATCCCTATGGATGGAATAGGAAGAATTGGATCTTGACCCACCACCCAGTGTGGATTGGTGGGTGCTAACGACTGCAAATGCAGCCGGGACCAACGGCTAAATGTGCCTTCCGAAGCACGAAGGAACTCCAGATAATAAGTTTTTGGTTACCCATTTAATGATCAACCATTGCGAAAATTGCTTAACTTCCACAATCGCAGGAAGAATATATGGTAAAACTGTACTTCCCGGGCCCAAGAATTGACACCTCATTTTTATTTAATGAAAAGGTCTTTGTCAATGAAGTTTCTATGCAAAGTCTCCACACCAGTTGTAATTCTACGTTATACATTTTTTTATATTATTCACCAGCGCCATCAAGGTACTCAAGTTATAATTCAGTGTTCATCATTAATTCTATTATGCATAACTAGCGGCCCGCCCTCGCTTCGCTTCGGTGTAGAGCTGAAGCGTATTGTACACAATCACATTCATCTATGATTCTTCTTATACCTGCATGCAAAGTCTCAGCCCGATCGGTTTAAAATTGACAGAGTTTCATAGAAACTTTCATTCCCTATTTTATCCCCTTGGGGGTAGAATTGATCAAAATCCTTTCTTAGCGGATGCCTACGTCATAACATCTACCTGCATGCCAAATTTCAGCCCGATCCGTCCAGTGGTTTGGGCTGTGCGTTGATAGATCACTATGTTAGTCAATCAGTCACCTTTGAGTTTTATATATATAGATGAGCATATCTACTTCTGTCATTTATAAAGTGCCCATACTGACCTGAAATTATTCATTTCTTCGTCATATCTTCTCATTTCTGCTTCAAATCTCTCCTTTAGCGTGGACAATGTCTCGTCGAATATCGACGTGTCAGTAGTGTTCACTGGTACATTGTAATTCTTCTGGAGTACATTTTCCGGTCGTTTGCTCGACGAAGACATGTTTGGTATATTGCTGTGTGTGTTTTTGTGGGGTTTTTTTTAATAATAGAAAATACAAATTAGAAATCAGTTAGCCATGTTCTTGACGTTAATTTGAAAAGTGTTTATAATCTATGAATTTGAATATCAGATGATAGTTAGAAAACGAGTAGATACTTTTTTATTATTTTTAAATCTAAGAAGTTGGAATTATATAAATATCAGTCTTTCCTATAGAGTCTGTGCGGAAATAGAATGAGATTTAGATTGGAGGGCGCTGTAGTGCTTTTCTACCGTATTTGTAAGGTTTTATCCCTTATAGACATGATTAAATACAAAAAACCGCAAGAAATCACAACAATAAACAAATCAGTATCAATACAAAACTTTGACGTTTTACAGATTGCTGGGTTTGATTGCTAAATAAAAATCTTAATGTTAGTTCCCTTTTTCGCCACGCCCATTCTCTTTTCGCACAGACTATCAGTCTTTCCTATAGAAAGAAATGCATGATCGTTCCTTGCTTACGACTGCAGACAAATTATATCATTTATTTATTCATATTACTAGCTGTGCCCCGCGGTGTTACCAGCGGTTTATCAGGGAAATTTTCCCGCAGTAAAACGTAGCCTATGTCTTAATCCAGGATGTCAGCTAACTCCATACCAAATTTTATTAAAATTGCTCCAGCCGTTTAGACGTAAAGAAGTAACAAACATACACACTCACAAACTTTCGCTTTTATAATATTAGTGTGATTAGTTAAGTTATGAATTCATTATAAAAGTTAACAGCAAAACATAAAATAAATATCAATACGAAGCTAACGAGCCATAATAAATCAACACTTAATGAAACGCAGATTAGAAAGGGGCTAATAAAATCACGAGATCATCGTTCTGAATCAGAAAATCAGATTACCCCGTGACCTTTCCCGCCAACATCTGTCCGCCATTATTGTGTGTTGCCAGATAAATAATGCGCCCCCCGAGATGTGGTATTTAGGCGCCCCTCAGAGCGCCCTCCCCGGTGCTATGGCGACCGGGACCTAAACACAGAGCCCTATTAATCCCGTAGTGAGGGCGTGTCGAATTCGGAGGGTGACTACAAATTAAAAACAAATAAAACACAGGCTTTAGTTTTAAAAAAATGTGAAGATTGGGTATCAATACACAGATTTATAGATAAATAAATATGTTGTTATAAAAGATATATCGAATTAGCAAACTGAAGTGGCAGTGGGCTGGTCACATGGCCGTTGGAGCTGGAAAGTTCTTGAGTAGAGACCACGACTCGGTAAACGTAGTGTAGGACGCCCTGAGACAAGATGGGATGATGATATTCGTAGGCTGGCTGGAGTGGGCTGGATGAGAGTGGCACAAAATCTCGGCTCGGAGTAATTACATGTGAATATTTATCGATAATAGTTATCAAAAACAAAATTTTCGGGAACAGGAAATGTACCTAATGTCTTAATCTTATTAGTCTTAGTAGTACGGCGGGCTGTTTCCGCAACTCGAAACCCAATGCCTTAGTTGCGTGGGGATTACCATGAGTCCTGCCATCTCAGTTCCTCCAGAAAGCTCAGCAGTCCGCGGATGTTGCTACAGGCCTCTACTAGTGTCCGCGGACTTCCCGCACTGCACAGAGGGCTGTTAGATATACCTATATTTCAAAGGTGTTTGTTGAAGTAGCCGTGACCCGTGAGTATACCCAAGATTTGTTTTAGGGCTTCTCTAGGTAGTCTGATTAACTTACGTGATAGCAGCAGGTTTACCTTAGGAACGGCTGCCCTAGCTTGCCTGCAGTCCGTGAGTTTTGCCCAGTATTTGAGGAAATGTACCTAAAATTGTTTTATCTCCCCGGGCTAGGGGATTGGCTCAGGGCTGGCTATGATGCGAGTGATATTTTTGAGTTTGGAGTCTTGAGGCCATGGTGGTCGCTTACTACCAGGCGGGCCAAAAGCTCGTTTGCCACTATTATAACATAAAAAAAAAAATGGTTGCCTGTAAAGTCGGTTTTACGGGCGAAGATTTTACGTGACAACGTCTTTTTCTCGGTAGAATATTTATTGATATGAATATAATTAAATTGCACAATAGGAACAACGAATTGAATGAAAATAAGAATTGCACAAATTTTAACTATAGAAATATATTTTGTTTACTAAAACATTGTACATGTAAACTTAAACTCATCGTAACGTTACCGAGCGTTACACTTTTTCATAAGTGACTCCCAGCCGCAACCTAATTTAAGACGTTGTCACGTCAAAACCTCAATATTCGTTTATTTATAAAGTCATCCAAAAATATACACGAATAGATCTGCCTTTCACAAATGAAAATACTACGCTAATCAAAAAGTGTACATGTGATAAAAAATATATTTGAAATTGTTCCATTCAATATTTGAAACGATGGTAACCCTGTGCCGTGCGAGGGCGCAAATCACCACCAAATTGGCGGGAAAGCTGTCTGTTTGACAGATCATTTTTTATTTCGTTCGAAAATTTGGCATTCGGGTCTCCACCAAACCAACCAGGTGGCGGCGGCCAGGAAGTGAATTAAGGCCATTGTTTGATTAAACTTTTTTTTTACCAATAAAACACTATCAGTTTCATTGTGTAATTAGATTTAGGCTCATTTTATTTGTACTTGTTAGTGATAGTGTAGCGACAAAATCTATAGGGTACATTAGTACAATATTAAAAATAGGGGTACGCTAAATCTTCTTCGGATTAGCTACTTACCCCACAACATAAAATCTTTTAAGCATGTAACTGCTCGATATTTAAATCTAAAGAAAATATTACTAGAAAAAGTTCCACGCAGACTAGGCAGCAGACGGGACTCGAACCCACACCTTCATAACTGCGGTATACTACGTACGTACTTTCTGAAAATGAATTTGCACCTTTGTTTGTTTTCCATAAGATGAAATTTTGATACGCTTGACTGTAAGTATCTATCCGTGGATTTTTTGGGAAAGAGGCTTAGCGTAGCCTTTTTCAACTTCTGGCGGTGTCAAATTAATAAATTCGTTACTACTACTACAATATTTTCAAATAAAACAATACAGCGAAAAGAAAAAGAAATAACTTTTTCACAGATTAGCGATGCGCGCGCATCAACGCTTTTTTTAGGCAAAGGAACAAAAAACAGCCAGTGTTACTAATAAAGTAAATTAATATTTTTGTGAATTTGTTACCGATACATCATCATCATCATCATCATCATCAGCCTATTAATGTCCCCACTGCTGGGGCACAGGCCTTCCCTATGGATGGAATAGGGAGATTGGGCCGTGACCCACCACGCGGGCCCAGTGCGGATTGGTGGGTGCTAACGACTGCAGATGCAGCCGTTACATGGTTGCAGATTACATGGTTGTAATTTATTGTCAAAATGTATCAAATTAAAGAATTAAATGTTTATATATTATTACAAGCTGACCCAGCGAACTTCGTACCGCCATAAAAAATTAAATTAAAAAAACATTGTCCAGCGGACAAAATTGTGAATCTAAACCATTCTCAGATCCCCTTGAACACACACAAAAAATTTCATCAAAATCGGTCCAGTCGTTTAAGAGAAGTTCAGTGACATACACACTCACGGAAGAATTATATATATAAAGATAGATTTATCTCCCAAAGTTAATTTTATTAAGAAAATGTTGCCTACCTTTTTGGCATAAAAACTCTTTGCTAAGATTTAAAAAAGTATCGTTCGTTTTTAGACGGAACATAATAAGCCGTGTGTTTTACTTTACATTACCGCACGCGTGTGTAATGTGATAGATTATGATATTGAAATTGGTGCATTAAGAGACGCTTTACGAGCAAATGTGTTATAAATAATAATAACGAACGAAATGTACGGCCATAATTATTCATACCTAATCACACAACTCTTTCAATTTGGCAAAAAGCTCTAAAACATTCGGAAAACCTTCTCTGACGACGTCACCGGTCACCACTATACTAAACCATCTGTGTGTGTGTGTCGCCTGATGAAAGTCTATAAAAAAAATACGATTATTTTTTTTATAGACTTTCATCTTTGCGCATACTTGTAGTTGTACCCACAATGTTGTCGTTGTCATGCCTACTCCACGGTACATATTGCCATAACCCTCGATATTGACACGGCATACAATCAACATCAACACAAGCGTACCGCATCGACTACTCGACTACCGACTGACCATTTTATTAAATCCTTAACAACGGTGGCGCCACTGTCGCTTCTTCCACAGATATTAGGTCGAAATTTCATTTCTCTCTCAGATTTAGGGTCGAGTTTTCCTTGGCAAACTAGTGTTTTGATAGCCTCTGTAATTTGGTTTCGAGTTTGGCCGCTACTCGGGCAATTTGGCGGGTTTTCATAGTCATTCGCGCGTAATAATGTTTGCGCTGTCTCCCTTGAGATAGTATTGCGTTTTACGGGAATTAGGAACACATCCCCTTTAATTTAGAAGATTTGCCTTGTTCAGGCAAATTTCATTATTGCGCATAAATGTAAGAGTATAGATTTTATTTGAATGTGTTGTGATCTATTTTACTTGAATATTTTTTTTGTTTTCACTGGAAATATTTATATTATTTTATTATAGAATGTTGACAATGTGTTTTATGTTTTATTTAATTATATTGTCTTTAACGAATTTCGATTTGCATAATAAAAGAAAATATTGGTAGGTATGAATTCAAAATAAAATTTTACTGAAAACACTAGTTATAATCTTAATTTCTAGTTGATGAAGATTTTAAACTCTAGCAGCTGTATGCACGAATAGTAAAATAACCCATCATCAACTTTAAAATGTAATCTCTTATCTATTAGACAAGTCCTTCCGTCCGTCCGTCCGTCTGTCTGTGGTGCTGTTTCAGCGGCAAACCGTAAGAGATAGATAAAGGGAATGTTTAAGTTATAAGTTAAGAATAGTCTGATAAGACTACAAACCGGATTTGAGTAACGTAGCACTTCCGGTTTTCGAGAAATCACGAATTTCAAACGAAACCGCACAAAATCTCCGAAGTTCTCAATCAATTAAATACATTTTTTTTTTATTTTTTTTTAATTGGTGAACATTTGGTTCACTGGTTTGCTATTAAATAAATAAGTATTAAAAAAAAACAAAATCGCATCGAGCGCACAACGCGGACTACATTACCCTTAGTACGAGTT